TACAATGTGATCAAACACACATTGGATGCAATAAGAGATTGCATCCAAGTGATCCTCTGTAGAAAACTTCTGTTTATCATTTAAGAGCAAACTAATATACTTAATTTCTGATGACACAGCAGGAATATAAAACTTTAGGCTGGGCCTAGGAAAACATGAATAGTACAAAAGTAAAAGAGACTTCCACAATGAGTCACTGACCTGAAGCCATCATTGGGTGATATTTCTTGGTTTTGAGAGTACTCTGGTGGCAAATATCTGATAGATGCTTTATTCTCTCCATTCCACCTTAGGCTCACCTTGGCCCCAGTCAGGCAGCACGTCTTTACAGAAGCTGCTGTATGCCCGGATGTTCGGCATGAGAGACAGGCAGAAAACAAACAATACAGAGCCTCTGATTTCAGTGAGGGTAATAGACAGTGATCATTCAACTCATATATCCTTTCAGGTCCTGACACTTTTCACACGTGAAAAGTGCTATGAAAATGGTAAAATAGGGAGATGGGGGGGTGCAGCTGAGGGGAACTCTCAAAGCTCTGATGAGGTGACAGAATGCAGAGCCATGGGATGAGAATGGGGGGGCATCCATGTGACTGGGGAAGCCACCTCAGACAGCAGGGGAATGAGGAGAGAAGGCGCTTGGGGGCCGCAGTGTGCGAAGCAAGAACATTCTAGCAGCTGAGGTAGAAGTTGATAGGGATGAGCCCCTTTGGAGTGGTGCTGGGTCAGGGACGGACTGGGGGACAGAGGCTGGACCATGGGGAAGGTGTTGCTGTAGACGAGGCTAAAGATGACAGTGGCTCAGGTCAGGGTTCGAGCAGTAGAGATTGTGGTGCAATCCATTCATTCTACATGTGAATTAATGGTGTGCACACCAGGCACCAAGTACTGCTTCAGGCCCTGGGGGCATCTTTGTGGGGGAGACTGACAATAATTCTCCCTCCTCCTGGAGCCGACACTGCAGGGGGAGAGACCAGAGGGAAAGACCCCGGGCTGAGAAGAGGGCCAGAGGAGGGCAGACATGCACTGGGAGGGAAGTGAACAGGCCGGTCGGGGAACAGTGACCTGAAGAAGTGGGGCGTCAGCTCCCCCAGGGGAGCTCCCCACAGGCTTGGAAGCTGGAGCCAAGAGGACTCTTTTTTCAGCTTTTCTGAGATATTATTAGCGTTTATGTATTTAAGTTTAAGGTGTACAATGTGATGATTAGATACATGTATATTTTGCAAAATGATTACCACAATAAAGTTCGTTAACACCTCCATCCTCTTACATCAGTATAATTTGTGTGTGTGTGGAGATAACATTTAAGATCTACTACTCTAACAACTTCCAAGAATACCGTATTGTCAATTCTAGTCACCACGCTGTGCCTTAGATCCCTAGATCTTATTTATCTTCGAGCTAAGAGTTTGTACCCTTTGACCAACACCTCCCCATTTCCCCCACCTCCCAGCCCCTGACAACTACCATTCTAACTCATCTTTCTATGCATTTGGCTTTTTTCGATTCTACGTGTAAGTGAGAACATAAAGCGTGTTCCTCTCTGTCTGACACTGCGGTTAGCACAAGGCCCAAGACGACTGGGTATGTGCAGTGTAAGGGGAGACGACAATCAGGAATGACCCTTTGATTTTCGACACGTGCAATTCAGAGAATGGGAGGGTCACCGACCAAGCGCAGGAGGTGGATTTTGTGGGGGAAGAGAGTGAGTTATAGACGCCTAAATGGAGATGTTGAGTAGGCAGACGGATGTGCAACTCTAGAGCTGCCAATGACATGCGTTTGACAATCATCCAGGGTATGGGTGGCACTTGTCCACATGAGAGGACCGAGAGGGGGAGGCTGAGGCCAGAGGTCAGCATTTAGAGGTCAGGTAGGAGAAGAGGGGCAAGTGGTGTGTGGAATCAGAGAGGCCTCGAGAAGGAGGCAATGTCAAGTGGCTGAAAGGGTCAAGTCACATGAGGACAGGGACCGGTCATTGGCTTGGATAATGTTATCAGGGGCTTTGCAAAGAGTGGTTCGGTATCATGATTGGGGCAGAAGCGTCATTGGAGTGGTTTGGAGGTAACCAGTTGGTGAGGATGCTAAGAGCTGGGACTATCCAGAAACCATGTGTCAAGTTTTACTGTGAAGGATGGCTTCACTTCTCCAAATCTGCTACCTCACCTTCAAAGTGGCGATGATATTACGTAGTGTGAGGTACTATTGAAAGCATTACATGAGGTGAAACAAAATGAAACAAAGCTTCCTTCACAGCCTTTGTCCGGCATGGAATGTTCTCAGAGCTTCTTAAGAGTGCCGGTTTCTCCCATTCTCTTCTCTGTTGTAGAGGCTTCATTTTCTTACCAGTAAAAGAAGGGAATTGGACCAAATGAGGTTTCAGGTTCTAGGTTCTCAAGCCTGGCCTGCTCCTCAGCTCTTGGGTTCCCCGGACCCCATCCCCTGCCTGCCATTCTCTGTCCATTTCTTGTCGATGGCTCTAAGCCCTGCTGGACCTTTCTCCCCTTTTCCCTCACCTGCTCCACTTTGATTCTGTCTTATATTGTCTTATATACCAGAATATTCCTCCAAAAAAGGCCTCCCTTGGACTTCTCTCACACTCAAGTCTTGAGAGGGGGCTTATTTCTGAGATGAAAGTTTCCATCCCCACCTGTGACCTTTTATGACTTGGACTCTACCAAACTCATTTCCTCTGCTCTTCTCTACATCCCTGGCCATCAGCATTGCTGTCCCTCGAATATATCTTGTTCTCCCTTTCCTCTGGCCTCTGGAATGTTAATACCCAGTTTTATTTTTTTTTAATGATATTTATTTATTTATTTATTTGAGACAGAGTGTAAGAGAGAGCACGAGAGGGGGGAGGGTTGGAAGGAGAAGCAGACTTCCTGCTGAGCAGGGAGCCGATGCGGGGCTTGATCCCAGGACCCAGGGATCATGACCTGAGCTGAAGGCAGATGCTTAACCAACTGAGCCACCCAGGGGCCCCTTAATACCCAAGTTTTAAATCCCACCCATCTTACAGGAGCCAGGGCACGTGTAGAGCTTTCCTGGGTGCTGCAATAGAAAGGACCTTCTCTCTGCAGGAATCTCCAAGGCTACCCCCTGTCTGTCCTGCTTAGTTCCATTCACATCTAGAGTGGATTTTCAGTGTGCACTGACCACCTTCTGCCTCATACGGAGATTGTTTGTCATGGGTCTTAGCTCCTGGCCTTCACCACGAGCCTCTTCAGAGGGCAGACCTGGCGTCTTTGCATCTCTTACAGCATCATACATGTTGCGTGCTCCAGAAATTAATGAATTACATCAATCAGAAAACTTGACTCTGAGAAGTTTTAATGGAAGGCTTGAGATTATTAAATCATAAGAAAGGATATTAACCAAGGTTTGTGTCTGTGGACATGTCTAGTATTTTAAAAAATAAAATTTCCAGTATTGAGCCTGTTGTATCAAAAGCTCTTCAAATCTGCAGATGCCTTGGTCCAGCAATTCTACTTCTAGAGATTTATCCCAAGAAAATAGTCTTGGATATTTGCTGAGAATGTTCACTGGAGTGGTGTTTATGATGTGAAAAACTAAATATCCAACGATAGGGGATTGGTTTAAAAAAATAAAAGAACTAGGGGCGCCTGGGTGGTTCAGTCGTTGAGCGTCTGACTCTTGGTTTCGGCTCAGGTCATGATCTCTGGGTCATGGGATCGAGCCCCGCGTTGGACTCTGCACTAAGTGCGGAGTCAGCCGGAGATGATCTCCCTCCCCTTCTCCCTCTGCTCCTCCTCCTGCTCATGCTTTCTCTCTCTCTCTCAAATAAAAAAAATTAAAAAAAAAAATAAGAGAACTCATGGTGGATATTCGTACCCTAGAATTACGATCTCCTTAAAGTGGTAACGTAGAAGGACATTTATTGACTTGGTAAAATATTTATATTAAGTGCAGGAAGATATTCTTGTCTGACTTCCTTTACCTTAATTAAATTACTTCTAGAGAAAGGATCAGTGGTACAGACACTGTTAATAGTGATTATCTTATTTATTTATTTTATTATTATTTTTTTTTATTTGCGAGAGAGAGAATGAGAGAGAGCACGAGAGGGAGGAGGGTCAGAGGGAGAAGCAGACTCCCTGCCGAGCAGGGAGCCCGATGTGGGACTCGATCCTGGGACTCCAGGATCATGACCTGAGCTGAAGGCAGTCGCTTAACCAACTGAGCCACCCAGGTGCCCCAATAGTGATTATCTTTGGATGCTGAGATATTGATGATTTTTACTGTCTTTTTTTGCTATCTTTTACCAAACCTTTCTATAGGAAGCTTGTTTTCTTAATAAAATATTTTATCGAAGTTGAGATGGCATACCTCTTTTATTCATAGAAATCACACATTCTTGTCTTTCTGTTAAATTAGGCTTTGTATCTATATTCATACTGTTTTGGGGAAGAACACAAGGCCACCTGGCTCGTGTCAGATGGTAGCGAGAAACGTGAGAACTTGCTTCTTTGGGTCCCTACTTTGTAAGTCACGGTGACGGTTCTCCAGTGTAGACGTTATTGCTCGGTGTCCTTGAGGCTGGATGCAGTAGTAAGTTGTTGTGTCTTGGCTGCTGAGTTGTTGGTTCAGACTTGGGCACCGGGGCTGTGCAGGAGGCATGGGGAGTTTGCATCCTGGCAGCTGTGGAGCCTTGACTGTGTAACCTTGACTCCGTCCGTGCTCCTGTGTGACCCTGGGCTCTAAGCTGTGGTTTACACATAAGTAGGATGGGGATGACATCTCCTGTGGTCACTGAGTGTGTTTCACGACATCTGGCCCAGTGTAGACACTTCGTGAATGGCACCTGACAGCCTAGATACCTAACGTTAGTCTGCAGCGAAGAACGGAGTCTTCTTTCCTTCATCATAATACTATAGGTGTCCTGAAAACTGGCCATATTGTGGGTTGGGAAATAGTTCTAAAAACGATTTCCTTGTAACTCAGACATGTCCCGCCCTTGCCCTCTTGTCTCCCCTCAGTCTGTGGGCCGGGCATCGACATCCGCAACGACTATCAGCAGCTGAAGCGTCTGGAGAACTGCACGGTGATCGAGGGCTACCTCCACATCCTGCTCATCTCCAAGGCAGAGGACTACCGCAGCTACCGCTTCCCCAAGCTCACGGTCATCACCGAGTACCTGCTGCTGTTCCGCGTGGCCGGCCTCGAGAGCCTCGGGGACCTCTTCCCGAACCTCACGGTCATCCGCGGCTGGAAGCTCTTCTACAACTACGCCCTGGTCATCTTTGAGATGACCAATCTCAAGGATATTGGGCTTTACAATCTGAGGAACATTACTCGGGGGGCCATCAGGATTGAGAAGAATGCTGACCTCTGTTACCTCTCCACGGTGGACTGGTCCCTGATCCTGGATGCCGTGTCCAATAACTACATCGTGGGCAACAAACCCCCAAAGGAATGCGGGGACCTGTGTCCGGGGACAATGGAGGAGAAGCCCTTGTGCGAGAAGACAACCATCAACAATGAGTACAACTATCGTTGCTGGACTACAAACCGTTGCCAGAAAAGTAAGGATGACGCTGTTGGGGCTTCCTTCTGCTGCTCTTTCCCCTCCTGCTCTCCCTCGCCCCCCCTCCTCTTCCGAACGCGCGCTTCCGCTGGGGGTTCTGCTGGGAGGGTGTGGTTGTGTTGCACTGAGAGTGAGGCCACCCGCGGGCTGCAGGCGGGGGTCTTGGTTGGCTTCCTTTTGCATCCGGGGAGCTCAGGGAATGCAGGACTGAGGCGTGGCTGCCGTCAAGAGCCTCCACGTCGTGTCCTAGAAATAATCCACCACCTCTCTGGGCCAGGAGTTTGCTGCCCTTGAGCTTTGGATTCTGATGCAAAAGCTGACCTGGTGTGCTTTGGAGGTGCCTCAGTCCCAGCAGTCAGGGGCTGCTTATGTATCGACTCGTTCATCCTTTGCGGGAAAAGATGTTTTTCTGGTATGGTGGGACTTCCTTAATATGAACCTACTTGGAATACGGTTGCATTAAGGGAAAGTCAAAATGCGATCACATGCTGTGAAAGTGGGGACTTTGCACCCCATCCTTGGTCCCCAGGGATGATCATGATGCTGAGGTGTGCCGGTTTATGATGGAGCACCTCGCCAAGGCGGGAGAGACCTGGCCCGGTTTCCAGGAATCCCCGAATCAGGCTGTACCTGCAAGTAGCTGTGTAGTGGGTGCATTTTTACACCCAGGCTTCCATTTCCTGTTTTTCTACCTTTTTCCTCCAAAGAGTTGTCCAGATCTCCTGAAATCGCCTAGTGAAAGAATTTTGAAATGTGTTCACTGCTCTCCAGGGTCTGGGGTGATGTTTTGAAGCTGCTTATTTATCGACAACAGGCTTATTTTTCTCTTGAGTATAACCAAACTCTTGAATTATTGTGATCAGTTACCTGGAGACCGAGGTTGTTTGGTATTAAAAGGCAAGCCTGGGCCTTTGCCGTGTTGCTTTCAGCAACATTTAGGTATGTCGGCCAGGAAGGTTCTTCTCCCTGGTTTAGAAGTCAGTGTGGTAGCTATAAATAGCTATTATTTAATGGTTGGCCCAGTTAAAGACCCAAGGAGCTCATGTATTCTAGCTAGTCATGAAGAGCCAAGGAATCCCAAATTGGTAGGCTTGCCTAAACCATGAAGTGTATAAAATAAACAAATCAAAGGCCAGACCCCACAGGTAGCTGTTCTTTCTGTCCAGCCAGGGTGGAAGCCGGGAAAAGGATGGTTTCTTTGACCCAGCACACACTTTTATGCTATCATTCCACGGGTGTGTCCGTGAACATTTGATTAATAGGGGAAGGGGTCTCCTCGTTTGCTGTAACCAGGATGTTGGATGTCCAAGAACGCCCTCAGGCCTCTCGAAGAGTCCCTGTTGGCTCGGGTTGGAGGAAGGTGCTGTACTAAAGTCCCATTTGTGATTGATTAAAACTGTACCGTATCATTAGGTTACCCACTGGTTTTGAGAAAACAACAAAAATACCTTTTTTAAGTAGTCTTGTCATTTTAAAATTTTATTTTAAAAGAAAACGGCGTCATCGGGGAGGCATTGTGTATAGTGGGAAGGAAGATGTTGGATGCGGTATTAAGTGGCCTGGGTGACCTTGGACCAGCCAGTCCTTCTGGGCCGGAGTTGGGCATCTTTAGAATGTTCCTTTGGGCAGTCCCATATCATTCCTTAGTGGCAACCAAACGTGTGCACAAAACGCTTTGGAAACTCATAAGCTCTATACAAAAGGGAGGTGTTATTTAAAATGTCATTAGGTGGCCACTTGTTCAGTGATTCAGATGATATTTACTTTGGCCTCACTGTGGATTTTTGGCTGTTTCTGACCAGCTGGTTGTTGAAGAAGCCGGGAACAGAGGAGAGGCCTGGGTTCTGAGTCCAGGTCTGGTAGCTGCGACCAGGAATGAGCAAGTAATTTAAATTGCCTGGCCCTCTGTTTCTTCATCTGGGAGAGATCCTGCCTTTCTCAGAGGGCTCTTGGAGTATTAAAAAAAAAAAAAAAAAAAAGGAAAAACACCAGAAGAAACAGAAAAAAAAGGAAAAAAACCCAGAAGAAAGGGTTATTAGAAACTGGGCCTTGGTGCTGGTATGGCTGATGCGGACAGGCCTGTTGGCTGGACACCTGCTTCCCCAAGGCCACACCCTGCAGCCTTCTCCCCTGCCAGTTGTCTCAGCCCTGCTGACGTTTTTCTGAGATTTTACAAGGGAGTATTTATTGAAAATTACGAACAGCGTTCAAGGAAACTGTCGTCCCTTCATCTCGGAGTTTCAGGAAAACTCCAGCATGGGCAGGTTTCTTAGAGATTTTCCCATTGAATTGGAACTCTCCCTTTACATCGAGTCCCTTTAGACTTGAGCTGGGTGGTGTGGCAGCCACTAGCCACATGTGGCTTACTGCATGCTTGAACTGTGGTCTGGTGCAAATTGAGATTCGCTTTAAGTGCAAAATACACTGGATTTCAAAGAAGTAGTAGGAGGGGAGAAGAAATAAGGTATCTCCTTAATAGTTCGTATATTGACTCTGTCTTGAAATGATAATTATTTGGACCTACTAGGTTAAGTAAGCTATGTTATTAAATTAATTTCACCTGTTTTTATTTTTTTTAAGATTTTTTTTTTTTATTTGACAGCACAAGTAGGCCGAGCGGCAGGCAGAGGGAGAGGGAGACTCAGGCTCCCCACTGAGCAAGGAGCCCGATGTGGGACTAGATCCCAGGACCCTGGGATCATGACCTGAGCAGAAGGCAGCCGCTTAACTGACTGAGCCACCCATGCGCCCCTCACCTGTTTCTTTTTTTTCATGCGGCTACTAGAGCATTTGAAATTACAGGTGGGGCTCACATTCTCTTTAGAGTACTCCCCCTATTCCCCCTATGGCCATGCATTCTCCTCCCCATTATGTCTCTCGCTGAGCACTGCAGTACTGTGATGTTCCTACCCCTCTCCAGCAGGATGCTGACGAACTGTTCAAGGAGCCAGGTGAAGGGCACATGGCATTAAGGTGGCCATTTAAAATGATGAAGTGTGGAAGAATCCCATTCAGTTGTTCTTCACAGGGCTGCCTACGGAAGGAGGGAGAGCATCTGGAGAGCTACGTCAGATCAAGGATGTGTGTGAAATTTTTGACATAACGGAGAAACACTCAATTATGGAGTGCCGCTATGCAGTTTTTACTTGATGCTCTCCCTCAAACTCCTTCTTTTCTATCATGACTGTGTGGTGGCAGGCAGCTTCATAGCCCCATTAAGGAAATGATGACTTTATGGGTTCCCTGTACATTTTGTATTTCTCTGTTGTCTTATGACTTGGAGGGATGGTTTTGTTTATTTATTTAAATTAGAGAGCATGAGCAGGGCGGAGGGGCAGAGGGAGAGGGAGGAGCAGATTCCCTCCTGAGCAAGGACCCCAATGCGGGGCTCTATCCCAGGACCCCGGAATCATGACCCGAGCTGAAGGCAGACGCTTCACCGACTGAGCCACCCAGGCGCCCCTGGAGGGGTGGTTTTATTGAGGCTTGAGTTAACTCCTAAAAAGTGACTGACCCTTAAAAAAGTTGTGTACAGCATTTTCCTTGCAGTAAAAATGTAACTGGTATCCCTGACATTCGGCGCTGGTGAGCCCTCCTCCCCTGCCCGCGGCTAGCCCTTCTCTCCCTGTCCCTACAGCTGTTTCTTCGCTGGCTCCTTTTCCTTGGTTGAGTCTTTGATACCTGGCGGTCTCCAGTCTTCCATCCTAGGCCCCCTTTCACTGTCCTTGTTCTCCCAGGATGTCCCTTCTGGTGCTTCTGCATCCTTCTGTCTGCACCTGGCCTGCAAATATCATCTCCAACCTGGACCTCTTTGTGAGCCCCAGACCCACAAATCCATTCCCGTGCACACAACCGTGTGCGTCTCAGTGTCTGCCGGGCTTCTCTGTCTCCTCACTTGTACCCGTTGTTTTTCTTGTGTCCCCCTCCCCCGCCCCTGCAGGGGCAGCATTCCTGTGCTTCCCGCTCCCATGTGAGAGACTTAGGGGTCCTCTGGATGCTTCCTCCTCCAATTGAACGACAAGCCCTTTCTGTCCCAAATGTTTCTCAAATCTGCTATCCCCTGCTGTCCTTTCAGTGACATGGCCTCTCTCCAGCCTCCTCGCACCTGTGCCTGGGCCCAGTGAGCTCCCTAACCTACACTCTGACTGATAGCGACCCCACCCCCCAAATCCTGTAGTAGGAGCCCATGAGCTGTCATGAAACTGGGCCATGCCCCCGACAAGCTACCTCCCTGCCTTCTGCCTGCAGTATCCTTGGCCCGTGATGGTGCTTCTGGGCTGCCCAGCTGGCCACCCCCACCGGCAGACTCCGTGTCCGTTGGCGGAGGACTCTGGGACTCTGCAGACTCCGGTGGGCTGTTTCTTGCCGCAGAGAAACCTGGCAGCGGCCCTTTCTGCACCGCCGAGTAAATTCTGGGCGTGCTCTCCGAGTCTTGGAGAGCGTGGCTGTCACCCCAGGGGCAAGTGCGGCACCTGCTTTGTGAAAGATTTATGGTCAGGAAGATCTCTTTCCCCCCTTGAGCAGAGATCAGTGTGTAATGACAGTCCTCGGCAAGCCAAAAGATTCAAGGCTTGTGAAATGCGGATGTTTCTTGTGTAATCTTCCCGGTCGGTCCTTGCTACCCAGGAGCGCTGTCACCAAAACCGTCTCCAGCTCTTCACTGGCAGGGAGGGTCAGCCGTGGCCGGCAGTGGCTCCTTTCTCTCCTGCCCTTGTCAGAGTGATTCAAGGCCAAAGATGGTGGAGAAATACGGGGATCATTTTAAAAGTTGAGCTGTGGCCTGTAGCGCTGTTGGTTACTTTTTTCAGCAGTTACATGCTGAAGGCCGACCTGTACAGGGAGGGAACAGGGGTGGATCCTCTGGCAGGACTTGTGGTTCTCTTCCTGCCCAGTGAATTGCCTAAGTGGTGTCTGGGGTTCGCTTGCCATTGGGGCTTTCTGGTACTTGGTTGCAGATCTAGAGATCTCCCCTGTCCCCACAAACCAAAAAAAAAAAAA